TTGAGCAGCGGTGGTGACAGCGGTTATGGCGGCGGTGGCTTCGGGAGCACCAGTTTGAGTATCAGTGGTGGCAGTAGTTAGGGCAGCGGTAGCGTCGGGAGCACCGATTCGGGCAGTAATATTTGTTACTGCGGCTTTGTTGCACTTACTTGATCTCATTTTCTTTCTTTGGATGGCTGTGGATACAACCCCACACCTGAGATATAATAATTACACGCTTTTGTTCTTCTCGCTTGCTAAAAAGCAAAGTGAATAATGTCGGATGTTTTACAAAATGGTTACCGGCTCTTTTTTTGACAGGTCACCGGGTAYTTCATATACATACAATTCATTTCTATTATACAATGGGTGGTTCAGATAACTTATAATTAACTTAATGTTTACACTATATTAAAAAATAATATAAGAGTAACTCTTTTCTTGCCCCATTTGTTCAGAAGGAAAAGAATATTTTAGAAAGCAAGTTTTTACTTACGGAGAATGTAACTATTGTATCGTACGTCCCAAAAAAATATAAATTTGTTGTAGCATTGAGCTCCCTTCACCATTCTCCACTTGTTGATGAGAGTGACAGAGAAAAACCTGAAATAATACTTAACTATAATAAAACAAAAGCTGGTGGATGCGCTTGATCAGCTGGTTGCTAACTATACATGTAAACGTCAGACCAGACGTTGGCCAGTTACCCTCTTTTCGAATATGTTAGATATATCGGCATATAACGCATACGTAATATGGACAGAGATAAATCCCTCATGSWACACCAACAAGCTTTATAAGCGAAGACTTTTTCTTGAAGAGCTGGGAAAGCAAATGGTCGAACCAAATATTGTCCGCAGAGAGAGACTGCCGCGAGGAATCGCTGCTAAGAATATAGTAAAAAATATTCAAGAAAACTCCAAATCTGCAGAAGAAGCGTCTACTTCTAATATTTCTGCCAGAAATGAATCCACCAAAAAACGACAGCGATGTTTCTTCTATCATCATACAAAAAATTGGAACAAATATTCAGCTGTTTGTAGTACGTGCCAAAAATTTGTTTGCAAGGAACACAGCAGCTTAGTTTGTGAAAATTGCCGTTAAAACATAGATATCTCAACTATTTTCTACAATTAACTTCATTCAAATAAAAAAATATGAACTCTTTCAATAAAGTAGTGTTATAAGTGGAGTTTTTATAAGTGGGTCAAATTGAACCAAAACACTATATGTGTAATTTTTTCCTAACATAGCAGAAGGGTTAAATAACTTATTAGCGTATTTAATCATTACTACCTTGCAAAGCAGATGAATTTACAGGTTAGGTGGGTTTGTTCAAAGTTCAAAAAATCGATTTCTTGTTTTTGTCATTTTAAATTCTCTAGAATCCTCTACTTTACTGGCGTAGAAACTGCTTCCGCGGTAATAACCGAGTTAACAACAGCACGCTATTCGTTTCTCCAAACGAAGCCATGTAAACCTCCACCTGTTCTTTCCAACGAATTGGAGGTCTTCCTCCTCCTCTGCTTCCCCCGACGGGTAATGCGTGGAATACTTTCAGAGCTTTAGTGTTTTCATACATACCGACGACATGACCTGCCTAGCCAACGCACCCGCTGTCTTTTAGTTCGCTGCACTATGTCAATGTTGTCTTATAAATCGTACGAAAAATATTTCCATTGCATACGGTATTCGCCGTTGCCAATCCGCAAAGGACCATATATCTTCCGCAGAACCTTTCTCTCGAAAACTCGTAACATCGACTCCTCAAATGTTGTCATCGTCCATGCCTCTGCACCATATAGCAGGGAATAATGAGGAAAGGAAAGAGGACTTTGCTTCCAAATTGCCCACTGAGTCAGAAGAAGCACCTGTTGGCAAGATTTACAGAAGATTATTCCTGCTCGATTAAGTACTGCAGCTTGAATTATTTTCTCCAGCAGCGGTTTGAAAAAGTCGCACGATAGAGATTCACCTTTTCTGAAACCTCGTTTGGTATCGAACGGCTCGTTAAGGTGTTCCCCTATCTTGACGGAGCTTTTGGTAATGCTCAACGTCAGTTTATTCAGCCGTATTAGTTTTGCGGAGATACCAAGCTCAGACATCGCGGTATAAAGGCATCTTCTTTGACATTACGTGCTGTCAAAAGCGTTTTGAAATCAACAAAGAGGTGGTGTGAGCTGCTTGCCCTATCACGGGTCTTTTCGAAGATTTGGCGCATGGTGAATATTTGGTCGGTTGTTGATTTGCCAGGACGAAAGCCACACTGATACGGTCCAATCAGTTTGTTGACGGTGGGCTTTAATCTTTCACACAATACGCTCGATAGAACCTTATATGCAATGTTGAGGAGGCTTATCCCACGGTAGTTGGCGCAGATTGTGGGGTCTCCGTTTTCTTTGGATTGGGTATAGCACACTTAAATTCCAATCGTTGGGCATGCTTTCGTCCGACCACATTTTACAAAGAAGCTGATGCATGTTTCTTACCAGTTCGTAGCCGCCGTGTTTGAATAGCTCGGCCGGCAATCCATCGGCCCCGCCGCTTTGTTGTTCTTCAGGCGGGTAATTGCTATTCGAACTTCTTCCTGGTTGGGCAATGGATCGTCTGCTTCATCGTCATCGATTGGGGAATAGGGTTGGCCTTCTCCTGGCGTTGTGCGTTCACTGCCAATCAGCAGGCTGGAGAAATGTTCCCTCCATAATTTAAGTATGCTCTCGGCATCGGTGACTAGATCACCTTTGATTGTTCTACAAGAGTATGCTCCGGTCTTGAAACCTTTTGTAAGCCGCCGCATTTTTTCGTAGAATTTTCGAGCATTACCCCTGTCGGCCAGGTTATCAAGCTCTTCGTACTCACGCATTTCGGCCTCTTTCTTTTTTTGTCCGCAAATGCGTCTCGCTTCCCTCTTCAACTCTCGGTATCTATCCCATCCCGCACGTGTTGTGGTCGATCGTAACGTTGCGAGATAGGCAGCCTGTTTTCTCTCCGCTGCGACACGGCACTCCTCGTCGTACCAGCTGTTCTTTTGCACTTTCCGAAAACCAATGGTTTCGGTTGCAGCTGTACGTAAAAAGTTTGAAATGCCGCCGTCCCACAGTTCCCTTATACCGAGTTGTTGACAGGGTCCGTTCCCACGACAGTCGGGTCTACGAAAAACGTAACGGACCCGGATTTTTATCCGGCCAAGGACTGTCAACTCGGCAGAATTCTGCACCTACAACAACAACAACAACCGAGTTGTTCACGAGTGCTCTCAGAGAGCAGGAGTGCAAGCCGAGTAGAAAATCGTTCGGCTGTCTGTTGTGATTGCAGCTTCTCAACGTCGAGCCTTCCATGTGTTTGATGGCGTACGTTTTTTGCTGCGCAGACGCGGGTGAGAATCTTGGCTGCAACAAGATAGTGGTCCGAATCTATGTTAGGACCTCGGAGCACACGCACATCTAAAACACTGGAGACGCGTCGTCCGTCTATCACAACATGATCGATCTGGTTGGTGTTTTTTCGATCCGGAGACAGCCAGGTAGCTTGATGTATCTTCTTATGCTGGAATCTAGTACTACAGATAACTATATTTCGGGCCCGACGAAGTCGATCAGCCTCAACCCATTTGGGGATGTTTCGTCGTGAAGGCTGAATTTACCGACGGTAGTGCCAAAGATACCTTCTTTGCCCACCCTGCCCCCTGGGGAAGTTGTCATAAGTGCTCTCCAATCACTCATAAAAGGCATCTTTGGTCACATCGTCCTTCAGCGATATGTTGAAGAACCTCGCTTTTATGCATATTGTGGCTAAACGTTCATTTACCGGAGTGAATGATAGTACTCGGCGACGGAGTCTCTCTCCCATCACGAATCCCACACCAAACTTGCGCTCCTTTATATGGCCACTGGAGTAAATGAAAAAAGGGCCTACTCGTCTGTTCTTGTCCTGTCCATCGCATTTCTTGGACGGCGGTGATGTCAGCCTTTATTTTTACGAGGACATCAACCAGTTGGGCAGCGGCACTTCCCAATTAAGGGACCGGACATTCCAGGTGCATGCCCTCAATTCGTAGTCCTTATTTCGTTTGCCATTGTCGTCATCAAAAGTGGGGTCTCTCCTCCGAGGCTGTTATTGCTTTTTCATTGGGGTGTTTTTTTGACGTGGCGGGTCCCAAAACCAGCTCTCAACCCTATGCAGGGAATGTTTCGTATTCTCACTTTAGCTCGCCTTTAAACGGATGTTCTTAGGCTACCCAGAGGATATTTGGTAACAAATGTTTTTTCATAGCCCTGACAGACGACAGCGCTAATATGCAAAAGCGAGCTTAATTTACATTTACTTGAGCATTTGACCCATGTTAATGCAAATTTGTAATGCAAAAGAATTTCGGGCATTTAGCTGAATTTACCAAATTTGAGTAGGCAACACTGCTCAAAAATCGAGTTTTGCTATTTTTTGACGGATGTCGCTTGAGGTCTGCCGCCTCCTTTGAGTTTACAGCATCAGAGGTAAGCAGTTTTATGTTGCTAATTAAATTATTTTGAACGTAGTTAATAAATAAACGAATTTTTTCCTTAATTTATATTGATTTTAAAAAAAAACCAAAATTTTTATTAATATTTCTCTTATTCATTTTTATTTCACTTTTTTTTTTWAATTAATATACAAATTCCACAATCAGCTGAGTAGATGTACAAGTCTGCCGTCTGTTACCATAAAATTTCAATGCGCATTAACGTTGATTAATGCGTATTAATTTTGCTCGTCTGTCAGGGCTATTATGTAGTCAATTGTAATTTGAAAAGTAAAAATAATGACATACTAACCATTTACAAGTTAAAAATTTATATTCCAGTTGATAGAAATTTATTGTTAAATTCTTTATATAAATTATTTTTGTTTTCTTGCACATCAAAATTATTACTTTATAACTATTAAGCTTTTGTGTGCCAATTTTCCAATAACGACTAATTTAAACCACATAATATCAAAATAAAACGATTTAAAAATGTAGACAGTTGTTTAATTTTGCAAATGGCGTCACTAAAAAGATATCTATTTAAGTGACAAAAATTAAATAATTGATTTTAATGAACCAAATTGTTTATAAATATAAAAAAAACTGCAAATCTCTATGAACATTCCTCTTGGCTTTTCCTTACGCATCTAGCTACTTTTCTTTTAAAATCCGGATACGACTCTCTCCACTCCTTAGCAGCATCAACATTAGCTGGAGATTCATCATTTGGATCAGCCAGCATTGATATCACAGATATCAATATCGTTTCAACGGTGTGTACTGGTAACCAACGTTCCGATGCCTTTTCGTAACCCCATTTATCATCGCCAGGCTCATGTAAAATAGAAATACATACATCTCCGTTCTTTTCAATGTTAGGATGCCAAATTTCTGTCACGAACTTCATTCGTGGGGGACGTAAGGGGTATTCTTTCGGAAAATACAAATGCGCTTTAAAGAACCCTCCTTCACTGCAAATAAAATAACGTAAGTATAGTATTTTTTGAATTAAGCACGTGTATAGTATAAGTGAATAACAACAAAAACTTAAGGAAAAAAAATTTCGTATGGTTAAGTATGGAGAACCATGATTTAGCAATTTGGCGCCAATTCGAGGCACCAAGTGCAGCCAGGTCCTTCTCCAACGGATTGGAGGTCTTCCTCTTTCTTTGGTTGCCCCGGCGGGAACTGCGTCGAATACTTTCAGAGCTGGAGTATTTTCATCCACTTTTCTGACTTTTCTGTTATCGAAACGGATTAAGATATTGAAAAAATTCGGAGTACATTTTATCAGAATCCCTTGTCCACATGAAATGTACATTATCACTGAAGAGACATCATTGTTTGTCTCCCGATAACCAGGATGTTCGTATCATAGACACTAARATTGATAAGCAACAAATATCAACTACTGAGTTGCCCAGTACTTCGGGTGCGAACCTAGTATCTAATGCAGGTAAATACTAGTAATATATCGCGTGATACTAGACCGCCATCCATTTCCATGAATATTGCCGGTGCTAACAGATTTAAAAAATCTGTCTGCCATTAAGAGGAAAAAAGATTTATATGGAAAAAAATACCTTTTCAACCAGTATCCTCTATGTTTACCGGAGACACACACCTATCGCCATCAACATACAATTCGAAACTCCTCTACAGTATTTTTTGTGGTTTTTCGATGAAGAATTACTCTAGCATATTGCAGAAGAAATGCATAAATTTAGTATTCTAAAAGATTCCAAATTACAACTGCTGAATTGAAAAAGTTCTTACGGGTCTGTTTATATTTATATTTTCCAATACCGGCTCAACGTTTGAGAAATTTTGTTCACTACGGGCGGAAACTAAGGAAGGGAGGAGCAGTATACGCTGTTTCTGCTACTAGTCGACGGCTGAGTTCAAAACTTTGCGTACACGAGTCACATTGTCCGTCTTTGTTGAAATCGCAGCACGATTTTCATCAGCAACCTGGCCCTCCAAAAAGTAAAGGTGTCTGCCGCAGATTTACCAAGTATTACATAGAATTTAATCGCGTACCTCTGCTCTACCGAACGCTGCATTTTCGGCTTGTACTACTCACAGAAACACGTCGCCCAAAATGCTTGCCCTGACTCTCCAGATGCTCAGAGGCAACTGATCAGCCGCTCGTTCGTTAGCTAGGAACGCCCTCTACCGAATGTAGTCGGTGTGCCGACGCTCCGAAGTACCGTCGCGGCGGAAGAAAATCATATTCTAAGCCATAGGCAGTTGTGTTCTTATGGGTGAATTTTGGCTTAGCATTCTCTATAAGCGCTTGCATAGAATCTTTACTAAAGTCTTCGATTACGTTTCGCCATTTATTATATTTTGTAATATTGATTGAGATAATAGTTTTGTTCACCTAACGGTTAAAACTAATAGAGATAAGCATAAGTTGTGACAAAAAAGAAACTGTAAATAATTCTTTAATATTTATTTTGTCACCTTCAATATAATTCTAGATCCAGATCCAGATCTAACACACTTATGCCAACGATTTTTCCAGTCCTCGAAACACTTTTCGTAAATACTTTTTCGACCTTGAGCTCCTTCAGCGAATTTTGTTTATCTCTTCGATCGACTGACGGGATCCACGAAGCGGCAATTTCAGTTTGGGGAACAAGAAAAAAATACACTTCCTGATAAATAAACTGGTTTTGATCGATGGTATTCATTGCGTATTTGGCTTTAAACTTAAGTTTTAAGTTTAACACTCCTTTTTGGCCATTCATCACTCCGGAACAAATTCATGATGCGCCAAACCACGAATATCAAAAAAACAATGAGCATCATCCTGATTTTTGAGCAGCTTTACCGTGTTTTCTTTGGTTAGACTCGTTTTTTCTGTCCATTCCGATGATTGTTGATTTATTTGCATGTCAAACGCCTAAATTGGAATTGGAATTCACACGATCAAGCATGTCTTTATCTCCGAGTACCTGGAGAGTCAGGACAAACATTTTCGAGCGACGTGTTTATATGAATGGTGCAAGTCGAAAATGCAGCGTTCGTTAGAGTAGAGGTAGGCGATTAAATTATGTGTAAAACTCAGTAAATCTGCGACAGAGACTTTTTGACTTTCGGTGACACCAGGCAGGGAAGAGGACGCTGAAGACCGTGCTGGCAGATCTACAATTTCGACAAACACCGACAATGTGACTTGTGTACGCAGTTTTGAGCTCTGTCCGTAGACTAATTATTCGTTTAATTGCCTAGAAGTTAAATTTATCAACATGTGTGGTTCATGACATTGTGACGTAGCATTTGAACATGCGTAAGGTGTACGAGAAGATGGTCCCAAAAATTGCGACGAGCAGAAGTGTCAAGTAATTTTGAACATGTGTGAAAGTGAGCCCCAATAACGTAATCACAGGTGACGAGTCACCGATTTTTGAGTATGATCCCGAGACAAAGAGTTAATACGGCAAGTGGCACGCGCCGTCTGAGGGGATTCAATAAGCATGCACCTCGGCTGTCAAGGGTGTTCCGGAGAAAGCCTTCCGTGACGCCTTCAATGCTTGGAAATCGCGATAGCACCGCTGCATCGAAGTTTTGTCATAATGCATATATTTAGAATATAAGGATAAAGACACTAGTTGAAATTCGCATATCCGCTGGTCAGGCTATCTGTGCAATCTGTATCGTGAGTAGAAATTGAGATATCGAAATGAGACATGACGTCGATCCACTGCAAAGCTCAGAATACCCCACTAAGTAAAAACTTATAAAGTGCCATAATTAATCACTAAATTAAGAAAAAAACTGTAATTTGGAACAGGGGATCGCCCCGCCCTCTAATTGGTTTGATATACATACTATATCTCAAACTACCTCAGCTACAATAACCAAATTCGCTCACGCAAATCCCTTAAAAACCTCTCCCGACACTGTTAAAATGGATGAAATCGAAGATAACCGCGTCCACTCCACATATAATGCTACTGTTAAATACTAATAACAGTGCGATAAATCAATAACTAAATACGCCAGAGACATACCGATATAGTATAGTTTAGATGAAATCKCATAACTCGATACCCGCGCGACCGATTGTAATCAAATTTGGCACGAGACATTCTTATCACATTCCTATTGCACAGTGCAAAAATCGCACTACAAAACGCCTACTTCCCATATAATATAATGTAATTTTAAATTACATCTGATCCTTTCACTTTCCAGTATACAAACCGAGTAGTTTACATAATGGGATACAACTTTGCACGAATAATGCAAACCAAAAATTGTTCCAATCCGACCAAACCTGTGCGATCCGGCGTTGCATCTACTTTAAAGGAATGTAGCGATAAATCATGATTCCATTCCAAATAGCTTGACACTTTTCTTTAATCGCAGACTCAAATCCCTGTTTTCTACCACTATTGGCATTTTAATGAAAAAGAGTCGTCTTGTCTTTTAAGGGATCGTCTCAGTGTGAAATTTTCGAAAAATCGATTTTTTCCTGTTGCACTATCGAATAGTATACACCCTCGCAAATTTTGAAATCGAAACTCAGGGGTCGAATCGCTACATCCGTGCACGGATACGTGATACGTCAATCGTAGGCAGGGATTGGCATTATGACATACGAAAGCAAACGGATCGTATTGTATTTTCAATTGACAATAGTTTTTAAATTCCACATTGCTTTGGATCGTATTTTTAGGTCACAATAGATGTGGAACTGTCAAAACTGTTGCGAAATTCTCCATAAACTAACAAAAGAAAATTAATCCAACTTTGTTTTTTTTCTTTGAGCTCTAGTGAAAGGTTTGGGCATAAAAAATAGTGCGGAGATTGCTAAGAGATCGTAGCAATAGCGTAGGTATAAAAAAAAATTATGAATCCTCATTAATAAAATTTTCTTTGAAGATGTAGCATTGTAATCTTAAAAAGATGGTRRAGAAGTTTAGGATACGGTAAGGGAGGAAGGCATCACCCCACAAAAGTGGAATATTTGCTAACGTTTGTGATTACATAACATCTGCATAAAATTTACAATAAGTTACGACAGTCAAAATTGCGATTCTTATCACACACAAGAAATGGACACCGGGGTAGCGAACTGCTTCACCGCATTCGACCAAACGATAGGGAACCAAATAAAGTAATCTTTAATAAATTTAATTCAAAAATGTATATGTCTTATATAATTTTATTTTTATTGTCAACTAAAATATAAAACATTTATTCATATAAATATTTTTTTTTTAATTTTTAATGAGATATTCCATTCATTGGTTTCTTGTTTATGTTCTTTTTTACTAAAAATTATAAAAAATTAAAAAAAAAAATTCTCGCATTTTCATTAATTTGACTATAACGATTGGTAGTTTGCGTTCGGACGTCGATTCGAACGAACGGATGCGTTTATATAGTATACTCGTTCACGTATATTATCATGCCAGATTAAGATAGAAGCGTTACGATTACGTATGTCATTATACGAAATACAGGCTTTTACGTGATGAGTGATACGTTCACGAATGTAACGATTCGACCCCAGGTTATTACGGTTGTTACATCGTTTCTTGTGAAAAGGGAACAGAGTGGGGAACGGAGCGAGGCAATCTTTAAACGCTTTTTTCTCAGAATGGTGTTCTTCAAAACGGTTTCCACTCTCAAAGGAAGAGTTTTGAAGATAAGCTTCAATTTGGAAAAAACATGTTCAACATCATACTCTATCGCGCTATGGATTTTTTTTTTTTTAATATTTACAGATTCAAAATGTTTTTAAAATTTTTTTTTAGACCAAAATTGCGGCCGCAATCGTGGCCATAGTACTGGACCTTTTTTCGTGCTATTTAATAAATATTTTGTATTAGTTAATTTCAACATAAAAAAACAAATCGCGAAAATCCGTGATTTTTCGGAGGGTCACACATAGGCAACGTTGTACTTATGCTGTTGCAACTCCTGTTATTCCTATTATTTTCGTTTTTTATTGTAG